ATAATAATTAGAAATCGTTTTCTTTCAAGTCAAAGATAAAGATATACGCAAACAATATAACTTAGGCTTAGTTTACATTATTCCAGTCCAGCAATAGAAACCAGTGATTACAACTGGAAATATGTAAACCCTTACATTGTATTACAACTAACTTTCGCCCGCGACTACGTGTGCGTGGAATTAAAAAAATCAAAAGTAAATAGTCTATGTCTTCCTCCAGACTATCCTCTATATCTATACCAAATTTCATCAACATCCATTCAGCCGTATAGGCTACAAACTCTAACAAACATCCATCCATCTAAACTTTCGCATTTATAATATTAGTATAGTATAAAGTATGAAGGTTGATGTGGATTTACGTTATTCCAATTGTAAGCACTGGAATTGATGCTGGAATGGAGTAATGTAAACTGGGTATTTACACTTCTAAGTCTGTATCAAATATGTTAAGGAATCTAGCTATTGGCTTATACTGAAATCAGGGTTAAATATTTGCCACAAAGTCTGGGATTCGGTACATGTGACAGGTTTATGACCTTATCATACCGAAATTAACAAATATTGGTTTCATTCTCATCTCTGTTTACCCCAGTAGAATTAGATTATCCATATAACATTTACTAATTATTGAAGAAAGTTACTTTCCGACTAGTAACTTAATATTACTTACAATTATCATAAATATGGACTTTTCAAAATAATTTGTGGTCAAAGTATCATCTTATTAGATCTATTTTCGTTAATAAAGTATGGGCAGATATTTAGTTCAAACCTAAAGATGGACACGGTATGTTAGTATGCTTAATTTCCTATAATATAAATAAGTTTAACCTTACCTGGTTAGTGAGAACATCTATAACAACATATGCCAAGTAGACGATCTCCTCTTCATCCGAACCCAAAGCTGCGCCGGCGAGGCCCGCCGTCCGCACGTGCAGGGCGCACACCCAGCCCCCGCTGATCATAGCGCCATACACCACGCAACCACAGAGTAACACGACCCACCTTCTCCCTTCACCAGTCCATCCAGTACGCACAAACCCAGTCGCAGTAGCCTCACCTATGCATACTAATACACGCTAACGGTAACCGACTAAGCGTTCTATGTTCCCTGTTTCGACAAAAATCACTTCAAAACCCGACGTTTTAACTTAACCGACGCAATAAGTCGCGTGCGGCGCGAACCGACGATTTACCGCTACTCGTCTACGTAAGCCGTTTCCGACTGCAAGTGAAAATCTTAAGGAATTAAAACGTATCACAACAGGTACACGACTAAATTCATTGCCGAAAGTCTACTCTTGTCTGATAGGTGTCAATGTACCGAACGATTCTTATTTTCACAACCGAGGGAAACTTTGAAATGTTATCATTTTCTATACACTCTTAACGAAACTGTTCGCTTATATTAATGTTTATATTGAATTGAATATATATGAGAAAATTTTAAAGACACGAACAGACATGCGTGTCGTTTCGGTACGATGGATTGAATCGACTGAATGCCGCGCCGCCGCGTCTTTCCCCTCTGTTGTCACTGCGCAGGTAAACCAGGTGAGCGGGCGCGGCGTTGCCAAACCGTGCATTATCATCGATGATGAGATAGCCTACCATTGAATTTTACGCATCGCTGCCAACATAATAAAAATACCGAAAAATCAACTTGTTCCCTTCGAATTTAATCCTTGTAAATCTTCAATGATCACTTCGCATAGTGTTGGTATTATGTACCTATTTATTTAATCAATCATTTAAGTTACCTACAAATACAGATAATTTTACTTTCAAGTGCAGCAATTAATAACGAGACAATGTATTAATGTTTACATTGTTGTACCGGTGAAAAACTGCAGAATGTTCTAAAAGTAATCGATTATATTAAGTAAGTATTTTTAACAAGAATACTTTAATTAAGTAATTAGTAAGATACCGTTTTGTGACAATTAGTTTCTATACTACCCTCATTATTTTATTTAATTTTCTTTTTAAAAATCTCTGACACATTCCCTCTATGATTATAGTCTTTGTTTTAGCCAATTTAAGACAAATATGCTCAGTTTTTAATTGAACAATTTGACTATTCAGTTAAAATTGTGTGTGTATGCAAATAACTATCAGTTAAACCGCTTGTCTACACCACGCTTTACGTATTTAGAATATTCAGCAGTATTTTGTAAAAATCCTAATTACAGTTTAAAAAGTTGCAGAAACAACTAATTATTTTTATTTTTTTTCCCAACAACGTTTTCGTCTCAAAAATGTTTATAATATTAAGAATTCTTGCGACAATAATAATTAATGTAACAACAAACGGTAAATTAAAAAGTGTGTTACAATTACGACTGAATAAGGCGGTTGTTAAGAATGTTGAAATTTTAAAAATAATGTGTGGCAAAACGTAGATTCCAGTTTCATCATACTTCAAACTAATATTAAAAATGCGAAAGTTTAGATGGATGGATGGATGTTTGTTAGAGTTTGTAGTCTAAACGGCTTGAGGGATTTTGATGAAATTTGGTATAGATGTAGAGGATAGTCTGGAAAAACACATATACTCGCTTTTTTTTTTTATTTCACGCAGACGGAGGCGCAGGCGAAATCTAGTGTTTAAATAATTATTTAGCACACGTATCGTGGTTTTCCATAAGTAAAACATCTGTAAATAAACTATTTATTATTATATCAATTTTTTTATTATAGCTATGGTTGTTGTCTATTTATTTAGGATCTGTGGAACAGATTCCTTTGCAATTAATTTAAAAAGTAAATTAGTTTTTTTATGAATGTTACCTTGTCTGTGGCTGCAATGACGTGTTTGCCTCGGTCCATGACCAGCTAACAGTCAGAACCTATTATTCAAATGTTTATATTTGAATATAATTTTATTTTTATTGTATTTAATAGTACTGTTTATTTGGTTCGTAGCTTGATCAACAACCCATGAAATATCTGAAGCCCACGAATTCAGGCAGCTCCTGTTCTTTAGCCACCATTCAATATTTAAAAAAAAAAAACTTAACATCTCATACCTTATCCACAAAAATTTATTTAATCTTTAATTAATGTTATTTGAACTTACTTGGAATAATCGACATTTGTTATCTATATAATATATACTTCTATACTATTATAACAAAGCGAAAACACACACTTCTTTGTTGCCTAAGATGTCAGCAATTACAGCATATTTTTGAATAATTATTTTTTTAATAAAAAGTCCTATACCTGCGTCACGCTTTAGGCTATATATTTTCATGCCATTAAACTTAGGGGTAAATATTTTGGATAAAAACTTTAATGTGAGGTAGAGACCATAAGTTGCTACCAATATCAAGGAAGCGAGATTGCCAAGGTTTGTCATGTCATGTCATTTTAACATTTGCTATCAATATGTTAATAAAATTTTCATAATTTCAAAAGCAACATACGAACAACATAGACAAAACTTAAGGACTTCAATATTTAAAGAATTCGGTCAATGAACTTGAAGCTTGGGCGCGAATCTTTGTTACTATGTGTAAAAGCTCGCCCATTTACATATTATGTTAATAAAAAAACATATTCTAGTCTGAGAACTGTCCATTTATATAGCTTTTAGTTTAATTTCATTTGATTTTTTATAAGTTTTCGATGTTTTCATAATTACGCTTATATATTTAGAAACGTTTAAAAAGTTCATTTTTTCTTTTAATCCGTAGGAAGAATTAGAGTTGACTGATACATTTAACTAAATAATGTCCCTCATGGTTAAGCGGTTATGGCACCCTTGTATAATGGCGCCGAGCGCGACTTCTATTCCTGAAGCAATAATAAAAGACAAATATAATTTTTATTCTGTCTTATTTTAACAAACAACAGTTTGAAACTATTGGACAGATTATAATACCTTTTTGAAATACGGCCTTTGTAAGCAGTTTCTATTATTGTAATTTAAAATTGGAACGAATCCAGGAACTCGCGCCGCCTTCACAAACGAAACACTCTCATTGGCCAGTTATAATTTAAAATCCAAGATGGACGCCCACAACTCGGATTACGTCCGTCCACATGTGACAATAACAATCCCGGCGACGAATGACTGACCCATTTATATTACCTACGATATCGGCACGCGGCTGTTTAGCTGATTGTGTAATTAATTATGACTCGCTCAATGCTTTTCATTTAATAATCCCTCGTAAACGCTTGTCACTTAATTTCTTTTTATTTAATCAAGACAATGGTTGTGCAACCATTCGGCCAGTGTCGTAATATTAATTTTATCACATATTTAATTAATTAAATTATTCTAGGTCTTAGGATTAATTACTTTTATTCCGTTAATAATACGTAGAATTGACGTAAATCAATCAGAGTTCAGAGGTCGTCTAATGTGTTTGAATTAACATAATATCTATTTGAAACAACGGGATGGATAATACTGGATTAAATCGTCATGATTGTTATTGCATTTCGCTAATCAGAAACGAAGATTTTTTTACGATCATACGAAAGAGGATAAAGGTTCAATATTTGTATTCTTTATACAACTGTAATAATCAGATACACATCAAACTTTTTTATTAACTGTATTGACCATTTTTGCCATTGCCATCAGTTTTAGGTAATAGGAATTGGGAAAATAAAATTGTGATAGCAAAGCTTTCCTTACAATGGATTTGTCTATGCTTTCTTTGTGTTTCTGCCTCCTAGTACTTATTCAGTGTTGCTAGTATACACGATAGTGTGCAAAGTCTAATAGTGCGTTATAAAATCTACATTTCGGCCATGCATGACCCAACCGGTTGTTCCCTACACGACACGCCTCAGCTACTTGCGCCTAGTTTTTGTCGATTGTTGCATTAACACTGGCAACTACGACATGCACAATATTAACCCTTTTTTGTTCAGCAAAACCAGTAATATAATATCTCTGGTTTCCTGTACGTATATTGCACAGATATAAACACAACAGAGGGAACATAAAAATACTAAGTGTTGACCTCATTTAGTTTCAAACGGTTGTATATCCTACGTAGTTAAATTGGAGGTGAAGTTATAGACTGAATGTAATCTATTATTTAGAGTAAACGTTATTATCTAACTAGTGCTGTTCTCTGTTAAATGGAATAGGTTTTTTTCTTCTTTCCAGTCTTACCATTTTTGCCATCCAAGATTAGAATTTAAGACAAAAAAAAACTATGATAGACGTAAAAACTACCAAACCATTTATAAAGTAACAAAACCACCGTTTTGCAACAATCTATTTTAGCTTTAATTTTGATTTATATTAACTGGAATGCATTTATCTATTATTATAATAATGCTCTGATTGATCATTAGTCTGTGAATTGTATCAATTCCAGTTATTATAGTGCGCCTGACAAAATATTTTTATAAATTTTAAATAACTCTACAATTGATTTATTGAACCTTTCAAAACATTCCTTAGTTAATTTTAGTCTTGAAAAAAGCAAACCGAACTCTAGTATTAGTATCAACGCAGAAACGTAGATTACTTAGGCTTGGTTCCAGCTTTAGAAACGATAGTTTATTCTTTTTGTTCGTTTCTTTTAAATCTTTTAAAAGTTCTTGTTCTTGTAATAATAGATTTGATAAATTAAATCACTTAGCATGTTTTTAAAAAGCACATTACGCACTCTCTTGAATTTGATGGGAGGCTTCCATCGTTATGGCAAAAGCGCCTACCGAAATATTTTTCAAACTAGGCGCACTTAAAATAAAAGGAAATGTCAAAATTAAATTGATTTATTTTTGCCCGTTTACATATTTTATTTTTATTGTTATAACGACAATCATAATACCGCATTAATTACAACAGTCAGATTTTATATCGTTTTTGAAAAGATAGCAGGTTTTAATTAATTGCGTAACACATCGAATGTGGCTAGCAACAAGCAACAACATTTTATTTTATTCTTGGCAACATTGTGAGTGACAGATGTTTACGCGCCAAACAATTGAGAACAATGGTTGACTTGTAGAGCCGTTTTAAAGTTTTGTATTCGTGTTTTTAATTGATTACGCTTGCTTTTCTTTGATTTGCTGACTAAAATTGTTTTATAACCAACTTTACACTTGTATTACATAATGTGTTCGATAACATTTTCAATAGTTGATGGGAATATTCGTAAATAAGTGATGGAGGCGCCAACTCCGTAACTTTAAGCTCGTGTGCGAAACTTTGTGACTTAATAAACATTGCGTTGTGAAAAGATTCAGTAATATGGCCGCGATAACACCGCGTCGTTCTTTGCGAATTCCTCACATGCATACGCCGAAAATGACTGAGAGGAAAAAAGGGTTATTTCAAGGCGAGGCACCCCCACAGCCGGAGTCTTTGACGAAGCATCGCCGGCTCCCGGTACTGGACAGCGAGAGTGACAGTGATGACTGTGATCTTGGCATCATCAGCACCATTGATTCAAGCTCTGGAGAGGAAACTGATCAGAACACTCCTAAAACGCCCGAGAGATCAACATGGCGTGAGTTAATCAAGTATTATTTTGAATTAGTGTCCCTTATATGCCCTATCTTGACTACTTTAGCTGAAAACTAGCCATATTTAGAGCAAGCTATAATAGAAGTAAAGTTTAAAAAATTGTCCAATTTTTAGAAGTCAACACTTCAGATTTATTTCATGATATATTTAGGATTCTTATTAAGATAATGGTTAAATCTGATTTTGAGTTTATAACAATCAAATTCAGACTTGCCAGAATCTTAATTAATCTTCTTTGAGAATAAAATACCAAAAAGTAATCATCCTATCTGTTCTTATTTAAATCTGTTTACTATCATGATATGTATTCATGTTCACAGATGAAACAAGAAGCCAAACAAAGAAATTAAAAGAAACACATTACCTGAAGAATTTCATGAAATCACCCTTCACACTGAAAAAGTATCAAACACAATATTCATGTCCTGAATCAAAATGTGGTTCATCCTCCACACCAGCTACCCCCCACCTCCGTAACTACCCTGTCACACCGTCATCCACACATTCATGCACCAGTATACATACAACATCATCAACATCAAGCAAAGCTCGTAAAAGTCTTGCCAGTCTTATTGCTGACACAGAAAGTTGCAGTAGCTCTCTAAAAGACCTTAATTTCGATTCAGATTCCGCCACAGACTCAAAAGAGAACACACCAACTAAACCATTAAGAAGGTCTCTCCGTAAACATAAAAATTCACCCAAACTTCACAGCTTCAAAGGTGTGCTACTCGAACAGAAGAAAAATTCATCACCAATAAAATATCCCATTGTCTGTCTAACAAAAATGGATTTCACAAATCTTATATCACCAACCCAAATGTTGAAAACACCACACAATACAACTGACACGAAGGGCTCTCCACCTAAACTTAGTCACAGCAGACGGTCTGCAATAGAAATTGAAGAAAGCCCTGAATCTATTTGCGATAGTGAAAAGAGTCACAAAAGGCTACACTATGATGGTATGTCTGATAATGGTCCGAACTCTAAGTTTCCAAGATTAGATCCAAGTTTAGCACCTAAGGCTCGTCTCTCACTATTCAATAGCGATAAACTCAAAGAGATACTGTCAGCTAAATCATTCTATGGCAAAAGTAATCCAGATTTAAATACCAGTATAGCAACTAAAATATCAAATGCTATAGAATTAACGACAACTCACCCACGTCGTCCATTCGGACATTCTAACAGACGTAAACGAAAGCCTGGAGAAATTAATATGGGTGTGAAACATAAGATACGTAAACCTAAATATAATAAACCTAATATAACAAGTGTCAAAGGAAATATGAAATCTTCTGAAATTAATTCCGAAACTATAAATAAAAGTATCACATCTCAAAGCTCTGCAAATGAAGCTGAATTTAATTCAACAGAATTATTGACAGGTAAGAAAAATTATATTAAAAAAAATCGTGTTTCATTTTTGACTAGCTTTCGCCCGCGACTTTCGTAGCCTTCGACGGACGTCGGGAGCGAAAACTATTATCTAATATTAATAATTTTTTTACACGTTTTCTATAGAATATTAGAATGTTTGAAAAAACTTATATTAATTATTATTTAGTGGCAAAGACGATTTTGTTTTCATTTCTATTAACAAAGGATATAATTTTTGAATACGATAAAGAAAATAAGAGGATCACATTTCATGGCAATGTACATGGAAATATTGAGTTCTCGAATCTTCGTAATCAAGATCCGTCATCAAAATCCCAAGAGGCAATATTCATTAGCAGATTTGATACCTTGTATTTTTCCCGATATCGTTATCGTTATTTTAATAAAGTAAGTAGCCTAAGTGTTTGTCAAGCTATTCTATCTATACCAAAATCTCATTCAGATCCAATTAGCAGTTTAGGCTACAAACTAAAAAACATCCATCCATCTAAACTTCCACATTTATATCACTAAGAAGTTTGATTACCCAATAAAAAAAAATCTAAGTAAATAATTCCTTTCTAGACAAAGTCAACCCGTTTGTACAAGAACAACAAACAATAGAAGCACTCTTAAGTCAATGGACTGAAGAGGAGGTCCCGGAATCAGAGTTAAGTTTCAGGAAAACAGAAGTACGTTGCTTCAATAAATCAATAATAGAAGAGACAAGTACCATCTTTCAACCAGTAACAGCTATACCGGTGGAAAGTTTACCACTACCGGAAGATTCTGACACAGTTATAGTTGAACTGGGTGCATCAAACAATGACCAAGGAAAGGCAGGTCAAGATATAATGGCCCAAGATATTGTTATGACAGACTCTAATATGACAGAAAAATCAAAAACTACAGATTTTCTGCCTGTAGATGGAGGATTTATTGTAGTTGAAGATAATGAAAATAAAGGTAAGGTATTACATAACAGAAATTTCTTGTTATTCCTCATTACATAGTAAAATAAATAAAATACTCTATGTCACCGCCAACAAAAAAAAACTTTTAAGTTTATTTTTTAATAAGATCAATAGTTTTTAACTTTATTTGTAACTAGCTTTCGCCCGCGACTCCGACCGCGTGTAAAAAATAATATAAAACATGTTACTCACTAACAACATAGCTTTTTAATGGTGAAAGAATTTTTGAAATCGGTTTAGTAGTTTTGCATCTGCAATTACAGATCCTCGTAAAGAGGATACTTCCTTTTCCTATTTGTCCCTTCCTCTGACAAATCTCCATACCCCTACCCACCCTTTTCTTACAATATAAGGATGGGAAGGGTAATACTTAATCCCTATATTAGGCCAGTAGCACATGATTTCTTTTAAATATTAGTGAATTATGATAAAAGTTATATATTATATAAATATGTATTTGTTTTCTAGAAGCAGAAGAATTAACAGATCTGGATGCGATAGAGCGGGAACTGAAGATGTTAGATGAGCAGATCCTGCAGATGGCGCAGTCCAACAACATAAATGCTGAAGCCGTGCTCGCCTCCACAGAAGAAGATATACCACGAGTCAGTCCTGGTGAGTTTAATTTTATATTTAAACTGACATACTCGAAACCCTTAATTCTTTGGATTTCTTTATGTATTGAAAAAACTCAAAACTTACTGGGCCGATTTTAAAAAAATCTTGCATCATTAAAAGCTACATAATCAGTGAATAGTGTAGACTATATTTTTTACTATTTCTTTTTAAATTGCACGCGAACGAAGTCGCGAGTTAAAGCTAGTTATGCATAAACTAGCTATTCCTTGCGACTGCGTCTGCGTGAAATTTAAAAAGAAACGATTAGTAAAGCCTATGCTACGCACTGATAATGTAGCTTTTAAATAGTGAAAGAATTTTTGAAATTGTCCCAAAGTTGTTGATTTCCAAAAATACTAGTCTTCACTCTTTATAATATTAGTACACAAAGTCCTTCAGTATATACACTAAGGAACTGTACACAAGGTGTAGTTTTTTACATTTTTAATAATGTACTATAATACTTTGCCCGCGACTTCATCCCCGTGGAAAAAGAACAAAATTAGGCTATATTTTTCCAGACTGTTTTACAGCTGTGTACAAATTTTGTATTGATCTGTTGAGATATTCCAGAGATAACTTTGAACAAACATCCATCCATCCACACTTACATTAATAATATTTGTAAGAGTAACTCATGATTTTATTAATAAGTATTAATTTTATTTACAGATTTGATATCGGAGGAAGAAAATACACCCAAATCTAAGCCTACAAAGTTATTCTCAATATTCAACAAACCAAACCCTGGCGTTTCAAATCTACCAAAAGGTAACTATTACAAACTTTATATCTGCTGTTATTAAGTACCCTTAGTTTAGAATATAAATGGTATGTTCTCTACTAAAAGTACCACTCTGAGTGTGAGGAATTTGTGACCTGATCACATTAATCCAGTCCAGTGTTCAAAATTTATAGAATTACAAATTGAGAACTGGAATACAACTAATATAAGGTAAACCGACACTGGAATGCAATATTCCAGTGAGGGTTACAAATATAAACCCATACAGAAACTCTAAAATGCATTCTAGTGTCCATTAACTTTTTAGTTGTAATCCAGTGCCGATGTTCGCTGGATTAGAACATTGTAAACCAAGCTTTACATTAAAGTATTACTTGGTCGTGGAATAATTTTACTAAGTAATTTTTTTAACTAACAAGTTGTATAAGTTGAAAGAATATATGTTGCGGTTGTATTTAAATCAACAGACAAATACTGAAAGTATTTTTAATAACATTTGGATTAAAGCTAAATTTGAAGATACTATCGTATCAGTATTCGGCCGTAAGTGTGGCAGTTTAGTTCATAACTAACTATTAATCGCGGCTTCGTCTACGTAAATAAAAAAAAATTAAAACGCAGTAGCTAGGTAAATGTAGCTTATTAATAGGCCCAGTAGTTTTTGAGTAATTACAATACATACAAAAATCCAATCCAATGTTTATAATATTGAGTGTTATATATAAAAATCAAGCATTAGAAAATACAAGTAAAGTTTAGTCAAATTTTTGGCAACTTTAATTCGTCTGTCTTCAAAAACGGCCCACGGAAATTGTCTGCCAATATTTGTTTAGTAATTCTTACAGTGGTCTCCAACACATATGTGAAAATCAGCTTTGTGAAAATAAGTGAACTTAGGTGTATTTTTGACCTACTTCAAAGTCGGATAGCCCGTAACTGCCCCATTGAACAGGATAACGAATGGCCATTCGGCTACATCACAAACAAGCACTATCTAATCGTATACCACTAAAGTTTTAGAATTTAAGTGTCGTCATCCTGATCCGGGATCTCAATCTATATATTTATATGTGAATTTTATCATTATAGGTACAGATAAAAGCAGAAGATGTATACTAAAGTCTGTAAAGGACCAGTACGTGATAGACGCAGGTCAGAAGAAGTTCGGCGTCACTCAGTGCAATGAGTGCGGAGTTATTTATCAGGTATTATAAAGCGCGGTTTATACTGGCCAGTACAGTTGATCAGCGTACTTACTGGACTGTCAATTAACAGTGAACACTAACAGACGCCAATGTCGCTACTTTCCGACTGTACGGGCCAAGTCTGCTGGCTGGGTATTAAAATAATTTAGTCCTACTGTCTTGTCTTACTATCTTTGTAATCTAAATCTGTTTAAATGGATGGATGTAAGTTATTACTTATCTTGGAAAACAGTGTCTACATATGGTCATTAAGTAAGTCTCGTAGGCCATCTTTTTTAATCTGCGCGGACATAGTTGCGGGCGACCGCTTGTTTTTATCATAAAATCCAGTATCGAGAGTTTATGTTGAAATTAAAGTCTGTATTTTTCGTAGATAATGAAAATTGTTTGTTTCTAATATTAACATAATGTTGAAGATATAAGTTATATATTATACTAGCTGTTCCAGTGCGGCTTCATCCGCATTAAATGTCAAAATTCAAATGCACAAATGACAATTGCTTCCTTGATGTTGGCAGCAATTTATGGTCTCTTTCCCACATTATGATTTTTATCTAAAATATTTACCCCCAAAGTTTAATGTCGTGATATGTAGCCTAAAGAGTGCAAGTGTAGGGCTTTTTATTAAAAAAAAGAATTATTCAAAAACATGCTGTAATTGCTGACATCTTAGGCAACAAAGAAGTGTGTGTTTACACTTTATTATAATAGTATAGATTGAGATTTATTTATGGTAATTATTTTTTCAGATCGGAGATCCTCAGGACGAGCATGATCATTTAGTTCATCATAATGCAACGGATGTTCTTAAGTATAATGTAAGTTTTTACATAATTTATACTAATATTGTAAAGAGGAATTATTTGTATTTTTGAATTTTTGTATATTGAAATAAATCAAAAACTATTGCGAAATTATTTCACCATTAAAAAGCTATGTTACCAGTAACATAGGCTAGATTTTTTTAAATTTATGCGAACGAAGTCGCGAGCAACAGCTAGTCTATACTAATATTGCAAAGGGGAAAGATTTGTATTTTTGTATGTATTGACAAAAACTACTGGAACAATTTTAATTCTTTCACCACTAAAAAGCTAATACAAAGCCTAGATAGATAGATAGGCTTTGTATTACTTTTTATAATTTAACGAGAACCAAGTCGAAATCAACTTGTCACAGATCAAATTTGTTTTTGACTGACTTTCTAAAAGAAGGAGGTACTCAAGTCGTCTGTATGTTTTTATATAATATCAGTTTTTTAAGGGTTTATTGTGTTCCAGGGTATGAAGGAGGAGTGCGTGGTGCAGCGCAGCGAGTGCGGCGCGGGGCGCGTGCTGCGCGTGCGCGGCGGCGGCGCGGGCTGGCGGCGCGCGGCGGCGCTGCTGGCGCGCCTCGTGCACCCGCAGCTCGGCTACCAGCCGGAACTGCCGCGCCTGCAACACCATTACACGGTAAATCATCATAACTTCCCCTTATCCGTAAAGGCTTTTACGGAAATAAGCACCATAGCTGAGTAAAGGCCTTATCCATTCAGCACTTTAAAGTTAACAAAATATCTGTAAAACATTTTTTTTTCTTTTATGCATTTGCTTATTATGTATGTGCTTTTTGTATATTCCATTATTCTATTGTTCTGTGTATATGTTTTATTATTTTTATTCCCTCAATCTTTTATCTGCTACTACTATGTTATTTTAAGTTCTGAATAGATTAAATGAGTTATTATTATTATTATCCCATATATCTTTATTTCTTACTCTCTATATAATACATTTTACATTACATTTGATATAAAAATAAAATAAAATATAATATATAAAAATAGAGCACCACCGGCTGCAGAATCCGATGACTCCAGCAGTTATTATTATTAACTTCATATCTTTATTCTCTTATTTTTATATATAATACATTTCACATGATTTTCTTAAAAAAATAACAAAATAAAACATATTATATAAAAAAATAGTAAGTCCACCGGCTGCGGAATCCGATGACTCAAGCAACCAGTGGTCAGGGCTGCAGAGACAGGAACCTCCTCACTAGTCGTGCGGTTTCTAAAATAACCGCCTTTTGAATCGGGCCCTTAATCCAACTGTCAATCGGGCCCTTAATCCAACTGTCTTAATTATTATTATTATTATTATCCCTTACGGAGGGCCGGCACAGTATGTGTTGTTCTTCCATACATATCAACCGTCATAACTGAATCCACTCCCTTAAGCATATCCTCTTTCACGCAATGCATCCATCTCTTTGTCTACCTCTACCGGTGTACTTCCACACTCATAACTAACATTTTTTCATTTTCATTTTCAATAAAGCGTAAACACTCACTACTGGCGTAGGATTTCAACATAAGTCAGGATCCCGATGAATACAAGATATAGAGCATACTCTGGAAGTTACCGAATTTGCTTAGTAATATTTTTTTTTCTTCCTTTATGTGCCAAATGTCATTCTCGAATATCATTATTGTCTCAGCAATCACCCTGTATAATCTAAAAGTTAAATAAGAGACAATTGTCCTTATGTTTATGATTTTACCACAGTCTTTAACGTGTTATTTTATATTCCAGGCTTATTTATACGTAGAGAAGAAGCAGATCATAGGCTGCCTGATTGTAGAGCCTAAAGTTAGGGCTTATAAGTTGATACCTGGAGACCCTGACTGCTGTAGCGTTGAAGATTACCCTGTCAAGTGAGTAATCAATTATTTTTCCCGACCGTGCATTCTAATTGATTTCTGGTAGTTTTTATTTAAAAAAAAAATAGCTAAAACCGAGTCCTGTGGTGTGCCTTTGAATTAAAAAAAAAACAAATGCAAGTAGCCGGTGTCTTCTTCCAAACTATCCTTTACATCTATACCAAATTTCTTTGAAATCCGTTCAGCTGTGTAGTCTACAAACAAACATCCATCTATCTAAACTTTCGCATTTATAATTTAACTAGCTATTCCCGTGCGGCTTCGTCCGTATGAAATTGTGAAAATTTTATTTTATTGTTTGTTTACATTTGTCAAATTATCAATAGCAAATGTCAAAATGACATGACATGACAAACTTTAGCAATCTTGTGATGTTGGCAGCAACTTATAGTCTCTTTCCCACGTTAGGGATTTTATCCAAAATATTTACACCCTAAATTTAATGGCGTGAAAACATATAGTGTATGGCTTTTTATTAAAAATGAATTATTCAAAAATATGCTGTAACTGCTGCTATCTTAGGCAACAAAGAAGTGTGTTTACGCTTTATTATAATAGTATTTATAAGCTTTATAATTAAAACAATCTTCCAGATGCGGTGTGTCTCGTATCTGGACGCATGCGAGCCACCGGCGGAAGGGCGTCGCCTCGCAGCTGGTGGACTGCGCGCGCGCCACCTTCCTGCACGCGGACATCGTGCGCTGCGACCAGCTCGCCTTCAGCGCACCCACCGCCGCCGGGAAAGCCTTCGCAGCTAAATACACGGGGAATCAACAATTCTACGTATATATTGATTAATCTGTCATACTACAATTAGAAAAAAAAATGTCTATACTCACAACAGTGAGTATAGACATAATTTCTATACCCACTATTGTGAGTATAGACACATAGGTTGACAAGTTTTTCACCATTAAAAACCCGTCTGTTGACAGGACACCATTAAAAACCTGTGAAAGAATTTTAAAATCTTTCGTCAAATATTTCGTCTATATACAGATTGCCATTTGTGCCATAAGAAGTGATTATTTTTAAATTCTAGGTCTAGATTTTTTTTTTATAATTTGACTGTCGTTTTAGGTATTCGTTTTTGTCACAATGTTTTCAACAATATTAGTGTTTAATTTGAACCGACGAATTAGATTATTTTCTTGTAATGTTTTTCTAAAAAAAAGTATTTTTTTAATAAACATTTTACCAATGTTTGCTTTCATGACGTGATTTATTCGATTTTTTTGAACGTGTTGTTAAAAAAATTACTCTTTAGGGGCCAATTTGTTCAAAATTTCTCTATATTTAGGTTTTGTACGAAACTTATATTTTTATATAATTTTACATTTTTGATAAAAGAACTTTAATTCTTGGAGCGTGTGTTCATTTGACTAAATTATCGCACAACTGTTTAGTCCCGCTTTGGTTCCTATGGAGGTGCGAAGTACTGTTTAGTTTGTTTAGTTGTACAACTAAAAATCGATTGTGGAACAATCGCACAACAGTTGTGCGACAGTTTAGTCAAAGGTGTTCTCCAGCTCTTATAAGGTTGCTTTTTGATATATTTTTATACTTGCACGCTCATTATGTATATGAATAAAATGTTTGTATAGCTTTTAAAAAAAATGATGTTAGTTTTTTTCTTTTTTTTACTGTCTTAAAGAATGAATTTAAATTTTGATTAAAAAGTGACCTGAAGCAGCTTAAAAACCTAAAAAATTTGGAAATAACAAGATATGATGTTTTACAAAAAAAAAATAAAGAAAAAAAAAATAGGTTGCTCAACATCTGAAATGGAATTTGTAATCTCGATTTTTTTGTTTTATAGTGTATTTTTTTACTTTTATATGTTTTTTGCTATGTTATATGTCTAAGAGTTTCGTGTCGTAAGTTATTTTAGGATGTTGCCAGTTATTAATTTATACATTACCTCAATATGACCCAAATATTTCAGTTTTGTATGATGTGTATATGTTCTATTACGCTTATATTTAAGTTGCTCTAAGATATTACAAGTTGACGCTTAACTTTAATGTACTTATACATTTAAAATGGCTGCCAAAATTCACATAAGTAATGTGAATAGTTTAAGTAGTTATTAATTTTTAATTCTTTGAAGGTTTTTGCTTTTTTTTTTTGCTTATAAGTAGGGTTGTAACGGAACTCCGCTGCCGCATCCGCAAGTGCGGAACTTCCTCAAGAAATGATAACTTCGCATCCGCTTCCGTTATTTCGTATGCGGAGTTATAACGGAGGTTAATTTACGTCTTTAATGTTGTTTTTATTTCTTTAATAAATCGCAATTAATATTTTATTATGACCTCCGTTTCTACTTCCGTTAAAATGGCCTCCGTTACAGCCCTAATTATAATGTATAAAATTTCGGCAATGTTGTTTGCTTGTCCATATAATTAAGTGCATGGAAATACGTTTTTAATTTCTGACGTTTTGATTCGCAAAAAAAAACTAAAGGTTACCTAAGTTTTTAGTATAGAATTTTCTTATATTAGCAAAACTGCAGTTTATTGTATCACGGGCATATTGCGAATTTCGTCATTTTATTCGTTTTGGACATTTTAAAAACTGTCAGTAAATTGGAAAATAAATGAAACATTGTAATTAATTTTAGTTAATAACTTGATTTCGATAATATTTAAACTGACCAGAAATACGTCAGTCAAATGGTCAATTGGGTCATTTAGAAATTGACGGATTTCCCAAACGTTTGGCAACATTATTTTTGTCTCCTGTGTTGTATATATTTTTGAGTCTTCAACCAGAATCTCTTAAAAAGGGGAAGTCTTAGTTTTTGTTATTGATAAGTATTTTGACATTAGATAAGTTATGTTTAAGACTATTGACTGCTAGAAAGTCTAGATTCTCGGTCTGAATTCTTGATATTATCTAGATTTATAGTCATTCTTTTTCTATTAGATGAAATAATTTTAATTAATGTTTAATTCAACAATTTAGAATGTACTTTTGTTATGTATATTTTGTTTTGCTTAATAAGTTAACAAAAAACATTACTTGTAAGTCAAAGTCAAATATATTGAAAAAAAATATTTTTTGAAACCTGGCAGACTTGTCGCTAGAGCCAATTTCGGAGTACAGTTTTTATTTCGTTTAATAAAAGTTAATTTTTTGTTTATGCGATATACTCTGGATAGTATATGAAAAAAAATTGAAAAGTCCAAAGACGTTTTTGTTTTGCCATAGACTTGATATTGTTACAAGTCGATATTTCTAAGGTTAACTGTGGGTTTTCACTGTTGAAAGTATGAAAAGTGTTTTATCCAGGTTTTCTGGCAGTGAAAACTAACTTACTCATTCCAAGACGAAACTTTCTCTACTGTTGTGAATTTAATGTGATTTAGTCGATTGAAATTAAAGTTTACCTTTTTTCTAAAAATGTTTTTTTTTATTTTATATAATCCTTGTTTATAAATCCGAGGTCAAGGTACAAAATGAAAAAGCACAATTTTTTAAAACAACATTTATTTTTACATACATTTAAGTCGGATTCAAAATGCCTGAAACTTACTGATTTTTGTGTACATATCAGTTACATGTTATATTATTAAAAAGTTCAGTGGACAGTAAACAATATTGCAATGAAATCACGTGGAAATTAATACAAAATAATAAAGCGCTTGTTTTTTTTTTAGAATCGCCTCGCAGTAAACACTACTATACACCGTAAATATTAAAAATTTATTTTATCTTTAGGAATTTAATTAGGTATATTTTTAAAATTAAAATTTGTTAAAAATATAGATTTTCAGTATATTAAAAACGTAGGTATTTAATAGTAAATAGTGGATCGCGGTCGCCTCGGACGCATCCACGTGTCCTGACCAACTCAAGTACTACGAGAGAAAAATATCTTTTGTGCCTCTACAATTATGTATAAGAAAATAAACTAAGGGCGCCCCCTTAAATGCCATCATAGTATCTCCAAAGAGGGGG